ACCAGTCTCTGGAGAAAGATATCATGTTTGGTAAGGTGGAAGGTCAGAGAAAAAGAGGAAGACACCCAGCAAGATGGATTGGCAAAGTGGCAGCATCTATGGGCTCAAGTGTGACAATAATAGTGAGGTTGGCCCAGGATCAGGCAGTGTTTTGTTCTACTGTGCACAAGGCCGCTATGAGTCGGTATCGACTCGATGGCACCGAACAACAACAACAACAAGGTTTTCCAAGGCTGTAGTTTTTAGAGTCAGACTGTAACATCTTTCTTCTGTAGGTGAGTTTGAACCACCAATATTGGGTTAGCATCTGAACAGTTAAGCACTGTGTTACTAGGGTTACTCTCTGAGTCTTTAGTCTCTAGTTATCTGGAGCAGAGTTGCTAAAAATTTATTGTGCATTTGAATACAAATTTTGACATCATAGGTCCAATAGGATCTGTTGTTGTTAAGTGCCTTGGAGTTGGTTCCAATTTATAGCAAACGTGTATAATATTTCAACCCCCGATCTTATAGCTCAAACTGACTGACCTTGTGGTCCAGCACACTATCCGAGCTGAGTGTCTAATGATCTCCAGGTGATACTGCTGCTCTTGCTGGTCCAGAAATCACTGTAAGCAGCTAGGATGGAACAGTCCCTCCTGTTTTTTTCCTTCCTTCCTTTGTGGTTTACCCTTTTCTGGGAGCTCTGGGAGCTAGTGGTTATGAGTGGGCTGCTAACCTCAAGGTCAGCAGTTTGAAACTACTAGCCATTCCATGGAAGAAAGATGAAGCTTTCTGCTCCTGTAAAGATTTACAGCATCAGAAACCCTATACAGGGTCGCTATGAATAGGAAGGGACTCCACCACCACCACCGTCTATGACCCAGGAGGCCCTGGTGGCACAACCATTCAGTGCTTGACTGGGAGCCAAAAGGTTGGTAGTTCTGAGGAGCCTCTGAAGAAAGACCTGGCCATCTGCTTCTGAAAGATCACAGGCTTGAAAACTGTGTGGAGCAGCTCTACTCTGCACACTCGGGTCTCCAGGAATTGGGATTTCTAAACAACAACTAACATCTCTATTCCTGGCTTTCTGCAGGAACCTGGAGCTACGTAGCAAACAAGACAGGCAGGCTCCCCGGCCTCAGGAAAACTACACTCCAAGGGTATACTGCGGTGGTCAGGTGCTGTCCTCAAGTCACTTCTCCGCTTGCACTGACCCCATGTGACAGAGTAGAACTGTCCCAGAGAATTTTCTGATCTGCAGTCTTTCTTGGTGTGTCCTCAGTTTACAGGGGAAACAAACAAACAAATGAGTCGCAGGGAATTGAGGCTTTCCACAGCCAGCCAGCTGGTGTGTCCAAAAGAGGAGCTTCTGTGGAGTCTGTGAACAGGAGACTCAAACCCACTACGACTCCACCGTGAGGCCCCAAACAGAAGACAAGCGCTAGCACTCCCCATCTCTGTCCCTTACCATCTTTGCTAGGCATCTGTGAGAAATCAAGGCTGGTTTGTGGTGCGGGGACCCCAACTGCTAACAGCCTTTGGCCCTGTAGTTGAATGACTGTGCTTGGCACTTGGACCCCCCACTAGCCAGATTTCCACTGCACCCTACACCTGACTCCCCTCCTTGGAAGCTGGGGGAGCCCCTGAAAGCTGCTACTGTTAGCTGCCATTGGGTCAGTCCCCACTTATGGTGAGTCCACGCACAGCCTGGCAAAATGTCATCTGGTGCAGTTCCATCTTCACAACACTTGGTATGTGGGAGTCATTGTTGTGGTCACTAGATATTGTGTCTTCCAACTTATGGAGTTCTTCTCCCAGCACTGATTGGACATCTGTTGTGAGTCATAGGATTTCCATTTTTCAGGAGTAGATCTCTAGGTATGTCTTCTTATGGAAGGTCCACTAAAACCTGTCCACCATGGGCAACCTTGCTGATATTTGAAATACTGGTGGCATAACTTCCAGTAACCAGACACGTCACCACACTATGGCACATTGACCGATGGGTGGAGGTCAGCACGGCACAGGGCTGACTGAATCACTAGCAAAGAACTCCCCGGGCTCCCAAAGCATTTAAACATAAGAACTAGAAGGGAGGTTTGTAACTACGTCAGTTTCTTTGCACTGTGATACCAAAGTCTGTTTATTATTCTAATACTTGAGACTGAGATTATCTTTCTCTTCACAAAACAGTATTAAGCACAGTGGTTGTTGGTGTTGTAAAGTGCTGTTGAGTAGGTTCCAACTTGTAATGAACAGTTTCCAAAGAGCGGTGGGTGTGTTTGAACCACCAACTTCACAGTTGAAAGTGACCTTGTGATCTAGTGCTTATCCAACAGTGCCTTATCAGGACTCCAAGTATGGTGGTCAGTTAGGGTCATGAGAATCTAACAAAGTCACCGTGGAATTAAAGCAATACTCATTTGCAATCAAGAGTAGATGACAAATACCTATCACTATGTTGTTGTGGTGGTTAAATGCCATTGAGTCGGTTCAGACTCATAATGACATGGAGTGACTGATGGGTTTGAACCGCCAACCTTATGGTTCAAACTGGACCTTAAGGTTCAGTGCTTATGCTAAGCCAGGACTCCCCTATCATAATGTTGTTGTTGTTAAGTGCCGTTAAGTTGGTTCCGACCCATAGCTCCCCTGTATAGTGTTTTTGAAGAACAGCTGGTGAGCTTGAACCACCAACCTTGTGATTCAAATACACTTTGCAGTCCAGCACATTAACCCACAGTGCCACACGAGGCCTCCCCTGTCATAAAACTACTAATAAAAACATGGAAATAGCATTTAAGGAGAAACTTAATATTTATTAAAATTGATAACCTTGAGGAAAGTAGGTTTAGAGAAAATCTCAGGTATAGACGGACAATCTGGGAGACTTTGAAAGAGGACTTCGGATGTTAAAGCACTGTTCCTACAGTGTCTGATTTTCTCATAAAGAGAGCTCTTCCTCATTGTCTGACTCTGCTGCCACCAGCTCTTACTCCATCCATCTACTGACAGCTTCTGTTGTCAACGTGATCCACAAACGGAATGACAAGAGGCAGGAGAGATTTTCCTAAAGGAGTAAAGTTTAACAGAAAGAGAGAAAAAGGGAGGGAGGGAAGAAAAAAGAGAGGGAAGGGGAGGGGTGAGAGATGAAAGAGAGAGTGGAAGGGGCAGAAAAGGAATTGCATAGCAAGGGGTGGAGTTGTTTGATGAAAAATATCCCAGCTAACAGGTTACAGGCAACAAACTACATCCAATGTTCCCAACCCGGGACCTGGTGATTCCATCAGCTCTAGTCTGGCTGCTTAGAGAAGACCTGTGTGTGTTTGGGGGCAAGAGGAGGTTCTAGAGAAGAAAAGAGGGTCCCATCAGTGCCATGTTTAGTACAGAAAGAGACCTGGTTAGAAGCTGCTAACCAAAACATCAGCGGTTCAAACCCATCAGCTGCTTCGTGGGAGACAGATGAGGCTGTAAAGACTTACAGTCTGGGAAATCCCACATAGGGTCACCATGAGTCTGAACAGAGGGGGTGGTATAAATGCTCCCACCCTGAGTGATTTCAAACTCTAAATGGTTTTACACTTGGTTCAAAGAATTCTGGAATATCTAACAAAGGCTTTAGTGAGCTGGGGAGGGTCCACTTCAAAGTCTCAGTGGGCCACAACACTAAATGTTTCTATGTCCAGGGGCTTATCCGTCCACCTGACCCAACTAAACCATAGGCTACTGTGTTCTGTGGGTATGACATTTTTATGATTTTGACAGTGGCATAATTAAAACTGACAGGATACCCATGAAGTTCTGTAAAAGTGCATCTTAAAAGCTCATTCTTAGTCTAAAAGTCACCAGAAAGACAAAGACAGAAGGTCATTTAATTAGTCTATATATAATTCAGGAAATGTTATAGAAATGCATTTGTGGGACTACCATTCCATTTTTCAATGAGCAGTGCCTCTCTATAGAAGTTTTACAAAAGTAAAATAAAACAATCACCAGTGATTTTCAGGAGTAATTTTAAGCAGTTAAAAGCTGGGGCATGTTTTCAGTCAAATTTGTCTGCGGTTCCCAAGCGGATCAGACAGAGAATGCACGCCTGTTGAAACCTTACTCTGCACCACGCTGCCAATCTGAAACAGGATGGATTCGACCCCAAGTGTGGGAGAGGGTGGGGGGTTTCTTGACACACAGAGTGCCCCCCCCTGTGAAATGGAGTACCAACACCTATCCTTACAGAAGGAGCAGCCAGTACCCCAAGAGGAACGGGCACACACAGGAGGGGGGCAGAAGCCATATCCGGGAGCCGCTCCCTTGGGTGGTCTCGTCTACACAGTCACCATGATCTGATCCAGAGGCTTGCGTCTGAGATCAGGCACCGTGGCCTCTTTGCTGGGGTAGCCCACGGGGAGCAACATCAGCAGTTTTTCATTTGTGGGGCGGTCCAGGAGCACCCTCAGGCGAGGGCCACAGTTGAGAGGCGTGGTTGTGACAGTCACCAGGCCTGCATTCTAAAGAAGAGAAGAAAAACATAAATGTCAACTTGTCATTGGGAACATCTAGCCTGGGACATTCACATCCCTATGAGAACTGCTCTGTCTCTCCTTGGCTGACTTTGAAGAGCGTATGGATTGAACTGTGTTCCTAAAGTTCTAATCCTTAGCTTGAGGTCCTCAGCCCTCTACCTGTCAATATGACCCTATTTGGAAGTAGGCGGTTCTTTTGTTATGTCAATGTGGTGAGACAAGAGGATCAGAGGGTCCTAGACCTAATTCCTTTGTGTGGTGACTTATTAAAAGAGAAGAAGAGATGTGTGACACACAGGAGAAACAGACACAGTGTGATGACTGCGGGTTGTGTAGACAAGCCCAGGAACACCAGGGATTGCTGGGAGCTTCTAGACCCACAAAGAGACCAAGTGGAACTTGCCCCAGAACCGATGCCCTAAAATCAGATTTCTAGCCCCCTGTACTGGGAGGACACAATAACCCGTTCTTTAAACTCCCCCACTTGTGGTTGGTATTTGGGTTATGGGAGCACTCAGAGCTCAGACAGACTGTTAAAGGTGGCCCAATCAGGCAATGGGGCATCTCCCCTGCACTCTGTCATCTTCCCACATCCCTCCTTTCTAAAACCAACAGTGGAAACCTTCTTAAAATGGAAAACAAAACAAAAAATCAACTTTACATTTCAATAATGCTTAAGAAATAGGAATGGGCATTTTATGGGAAGTAATCTGGAGAATACAAGTCACCGAAACAATGATCATAAAACCAACAGTGATAGCTAGGTGTCATCTTCACCTTCATCTGATGAAAGAGAACCCTGTGGACTGGGATACACTGTTTTTGTGAAGTGCAATCGCGTCTGTTCGGACTCATAGCCACCCTGTATAGGATTTCCGAGGAGCAGTTGGTGGGCTTGAACAGCTGACTTTGTGGTTAGTATCCCTAGGATTTCTGTAATGTGTCCCTAGGAGTCGTGGTGTGGTGCTGTAGGATAAGCACTGGAGTGCTAACCGGCTCGAAGGCATTTAACAACAATAAGGTAGCCATTTGTTGTTGTTACTGTTAAGTTCTGACTCATAGTGACCCTGTATAGGGTGTCCAAGGAGCAGTGGTGAGTCTGATCTGCCTACATTGTAGTTCAAACTTACCTTGTAGTCTAGCACTTATCCTATAGTGGTACACCATGATACATTGTTGTCAAGTGCCATTGAGTCGGTTCTGACTCATAGCAACCCTGTATAGAGATTCCCACTAGTGGCTGATGAGCTTGAACCACCGACCTTGCAGTTCAAACCAACTTTGCAGTCTAGCGCATTAACCCACAACACCACACCAGGACAACCCCAGGAGCCTCTCCCCCCCTGTTACTGTGTTGTTTTTAAGTACCACTGTGTCAGTTGATTCATAATGACCCTGTACAGGGTATTCGAGGAGTAGCGAATGGGTTTGTGGTTAGCAATCCAATACTTCTCCTCCAATCCAGTGTTCTTGTTGTTGTTGTTGTTAGGTGCCATTGAGTTGGTACCTACTCATAGAGACCTTATGCACTAAAGAACGAAACTTGCCTGATCCTGGACCAACCTCACAATTGTTGCCACACTTGAGTCCATCGATGCTGCCACTTTGCCAATCCATCTCGCTGGGGGTCTTCCTCTTTTTCTCTGACCCTCCACCTTATCAAACATGATAATCCTTCTCCAGTGACTGGTCCCTCCTGACAATATGTCCAAAGTATGAGAGATGAAGTTTGGCTATCTTGGCCTCCAGCACTCTGGCTGCACTTCTTCCAAAACCGATCTATTGGTTCTTTTGGCAGCTCATGGCACTTTCAGTATTCTCCTCCAACACTATAACTCAAAAGCATCAATTCTTCTACGATCTTCCTTATTCACTGTCCAGCTTTCACATGCATATGAGGTTATTGAAAATACCATGGCTTGGGTCAGGCGCACCTTAGTCTTTAAGCTGACATCTTTGCTTATCAACACTTTAAAAAGGTCTTGTGCAGCACATTTGCCCAATGCAATACGTCGTCTGATCTCTTGACTGCTGCTTCCATGAGTGTTGATAGTTGATCCAAGAAGAATGAAGTCCTTGACAACTTCAATCTTTTCTCCGTTGATAAGAATGTTTTTTATTGGTCCAGTGGTAAGGATTTTTATTTTCTTTACATTGAGATGTAATCCATACTGAAGGCTGTGCTCTTTGATCTTCATCAATAAATATTTTAAGTCCTCTTCACTTTCAGCAAGCAAGGTTGTATCATCTGCATAGCGCAGGTTGTTAATGAGTCTTCCTCCAATCCTGATGCCACATTTTTCTTCATAAAACCCAGCTTCTTGGATTATTTGCTGAGCATACAGGTTGAATAAGTATGGTGAAAGAATACAACCTTGTTGCACACCTTTCTTGATTTTAAACCATTCAGTGTTCCCATGCTCTGTTCGAACAACTGCCTCTTGATCCAGGGACAGATTCCTCATGAGCACAATTAAGCACTAATGCTCAAATTCTTCTAAATAATAAACATCACTCAAATGGTAACTGAAAAGTTGAAGGCTGGAGCCCACCTGTTAGCCGTTGAAAAGCCTTTGGAGCGCAGTTTTATTCTGAAACACATGGGGGCGCCATGAGCCAGACTCAGCTCAGTGGTAACTGGTTGGTTCTGTACAAGCCATGAGTTTACTGGATAAATGTAGCTTCTCTGTACCTCCTAGTCCTGCACTTCCACCTTGATTGCCAAAGGAAACCTGAGACTAAGAAGTGCTCCAGCTTCTGTGGTCAGACAAGAGGACCAGAGGGGTCCTAGACCTAATCCTTTCTGTGTGGAGTCTTATTAAAAGAGATATGAATCGCTTAGAATAATTAGCCAAATGAGATAGAAAGGGTAGCAGTTGCTCAGGGATAAAGCTCAGAATGGAGCCCTGGTGTGGCACTGAGGATAAACACTGGACTGCTATCTGCAAGGTCTGTGGTTCTAACTCATCAGCGGCTAGGACACTGTGAGTTGGAACTGACTGTATGGCCCTTAACATGCAGGGCAGGATCATTCCTTCAGTTTCTCCAGAAGGGGTCTCCATAAAGACTTCTCTTCCTCACACAGAACAACAAAGCCTTTGTGGAACACTAGAGGGCAGCAAACTCAAGAGTAACAAGATTGACTCCAAGGCACAGAGGCCACTTTGTGAATTGAGTGTCCTTCAGCCCTAAACTGCTGCTTTTTTTCGGTTTGTTTTACTTTTGCAGGGCCCAGTCCTACAGGGAAATGGGGCATTGGGCCTTTTTGTTGCAAAATGGTCCCTGATTTTAACTGCTCTTACTCCAACCACAGTGAAACACATAAATTGAATGGTTGCTGTTGGCTGTGTGCTGCCCAATTGGTTCATAGTGGCCCCGTATAGGGTTCCCGAGACTGAAAATCTTTAGGGAGCAGAAAGCCTCCTCTTCTGTCTGCAGAGTGACTAGTGGATTCGAACAGCTGACCTTTCTGTTAGAAGCCCAAGGAATAACGCAATATGCTACCAAGGCTCATACCTTTAATAATTAATGTCATTGATAATGGTGTTCAGTGCTGCCGGTGGATTCTAATTCATAGAGACCCTATATAGGGTTTCTGAGGAGTGGCTGGTGGGTTTGAACCACCAACCCTGCAGTTAGCAGTCCAGTGCTTATCCTAAAACACTCCACTATGACTCTAATTTATAATGCAAATACTTATTTAATAATTTAATAAATCTATGATCAATTGATAATTTTTTCAAACATTTTTTAGAGCATTAAATCAAGTTTGTGTGTGTGTGTTTTTTAAGCTTTATTGTGATTTGGGTGAAAGCTTGCAGAGCAGACTGGTTTTCCATGCAACAATTCCTGCACGTTGATTGCACTTCCCACAATGCAACAGCACAAACAGAAACCATGAACACAGGGAGGAAGTGCTGTTTGGCCTTCCGTCC